AAGGGGGGGGGCAGGGCGGTGGTGCAAAGGGCTGGGGGTGGGTGGGAGGGGGTGCGTGGAAAGTCAGCAAAGCACTTTTGGGGGGGGTCCCTCCGGCCCAGGACTACGGGCTTAAATGGAGGCCGGGGCTCATCCCGACCGGCTTCCGGACTCTCCGTTGGTGAAAACGGCCAAGGAGGACGTGGCTTTAATAGGGGTAAATGTGCCTCTCCCCCCCCCCAATTTTAAATTAAATTAAATTAAAAAAAAGATGGAGGGTTTTTGTTTGCGTCCGGATAGCTTTAGTGCGTAAATACCCCTGCTCGTCTAAAGGGGAGGGGAAAATGGAAGAAGCAACCGCTTAAGGCTCGAGTCGGTAGCCCCTCTCCCCCCCGTGGGGAAGGGGAGGGGAAGGGGCTGCCCCCCCCCCAGTGCTAGATCCAGGCTCACATTCACACAGGCAGTAGATGGCCGAGTTTACAGCGTACAGTGATTGCTTTAGCCAGTGTTAAGAGCAGGGGGTCTCCAAACGCGGCCCCTTTAAGACTGGTGGACTTCAACTCCCAGAATTCCCCAGCCAGCATGCTTTAAGGGGGGGGGACTTCCACTCCCAGAATTCCAAGCCAGTCTGCTTTAAGAGAGGTGGGCTTCAGTTCCCAGAATCTCTGAACCAGCATGGCTTAAGACGGGTGGACTTCAACTCCCAGAATTCCCCAGCCAGCAAAGCTGGCTGGGGAATTCTGGGAGTTGAAGTCCACCAGTCTTAAAGGGGCCGCGTTTGGAGACCCCTGGCTAAGAGAGAAAAAGCTTCAGAAAAGGCAGCTGGAGGTTTGGATGGGGGTCTTTTTTTCAACTCCAAACTTGACCGTGATCATTTTTGGGGGGGGGGGCTGTCCTTTGGGGGAGGGGGGCATCAGCGACAGTGGGGTGTGTGTGTGTGGAATGGGACTCCAACATCGCTTTTCACCCAAAGGACCAGCTCTGCCCCGTTAGGAAACCAGGAGGACCCGAAGACCCTCCCCAGAGCTGGACCAAGGCAATCCCTGACTTGGCGACCATTCGTAAGGCGGCCGGCGGGAAAATCCCCGCAGTTACGACCGTTGCACGGGGTCGCCGTTGGTGCATTCGGCCAACCGGCGTGCGAATGGTGAGGCTGGCCCGGTCCTCGGGACACGTGATCCTCCCCCCCCCATCCTTTTTGCAAACCGATCCACGGGGGGAAGCCAGATCCACTCGACGACACCGGGACTTACGTCCGCGGCTGTGGAGATCCGCTCGGCGGTGGCCAAACGAATCGGGGGGGAGAGGAGTCCCTTAATGCCCGCCCGACTTAGCGACATAAATTCTGCCCCCCCCTCCGATGGTTGTCGTTAAGTCGAGGACTCCTTGTGTCTGTTGCTCAGAGTTGAAATGGGGGGGGATTCCTTGGTTCTCTCTCTGAGCGCAGTGGATTATTATTATTTTTGGGGGGCAGACGTTTCGTGACCCAACTAGGCAACAGCATCAGGGTTAGGAGGGGTGGGTGGGTGGGGATTGCAATCTGGATCCAGCCTCCCAGGACAAAAGGCCGAGATTCCCAAAGAGGCCAAAACAGACAGGTCTTTGTTACATCCCAAATTGGCTGGGGAGCAGAAGAGGGTACCTTAATGGGGGGGGGGCTTCGTTGCACCTAGTGGGGAGCCCCCTCTCTCTCCTGGGGTCTTCTGCCCTTTAGAGGGGGCTAAGGGGCTCCCAGGGCCTTCCTTCAGCCAAGCCCCCCACCCACCCCCTGGCAGGAGGGGGCAGAACTAGAGGCTCTGCAGAGGCATTCCTTCCGGGGTCTGTGTATGTGTCTGCTACAGGGGGAGGGGGGTGTCAGGGGGCTCCCGGGAGGGGATATTCTGCGTTTGCTACAGGCTGGCAGCGGGAAAATCGGGGGAGGGAGAAGGCCGGGGGGGGGGTCACCCAGAAGGGAGGGGGGCTCACCTCTAGTGCCAGCCGTTTGCGAGA